AAAAGAAATGTATATGGTTTGCTGAACACGAAACAAATGGTGAACTCAAAATTCAGTACTTTCTCCACCTAGTGGGATGAGTTAATGTAAAACTAAACATAAAAACTTACTCTGCTCAACTTTCTGTGAGCCTGCTTCCTTTTAAGACCACAAGGAGGCTTGATGTACCATTGATAAATCATCAACAATTTTTTGAGAGTTCCCAAAAAACAATGCTCCCACAAAAAATGTACGCTGAGCAATGGTCACGCTGTCCCTAAAGGTTCTGTATTATGTTAAATGACAAATGTGTTTGCCAAACAGGATGTGGTTTCTACCTTTAAAGCCTCTATACTTCTAAGGCTCCTGGCCGTTTGTTCTCTCCTGCATGAGTATGGTCAAGCAGTCCTGGGCCCAGTAATAAAAGGCGCAAATTTACATTTTAATTTTGGATTCTGGTCTGGTTTCTATGGGGGGTTTTTTGTTGTTGTTGTTTTTGTTTTTGTTTTTTTGTGGAGTCAGGGATTGAACTCAAGCCCTTGAGCTTGCCAGGCAAGCACTTATTCAACTGAGCTATCTCCCCAGGACCCTGGTTTCTATGTTGAGAACCCATAACACCCAGTTACCATGATCCTGACAAATTCTGAGTTGAGGCCTTCCATTCTTCTCCAAGTGCAGACTCCAGGTTCAAACCATTCAGTTCCACCTGAGTCACCACCTTGAAGTTATCCAGGGGAGCTTAGTCAACCCATTAACAAAGATAAAGATACTGCACTAAAAAGGCTTATGATAAAAGAAAAAGGTATTTCTAATTTTCATGAAATTCCAGAAGTTTTAGGTTCTGTTCTGGAATCTAGGAGAAGACTAATTTTCAAAAAAAAAAATTTACTACACATTTAACTCATGTCAAGTTCACAGGCACATGTCTAAAGCAGGGGAATCCAAGGATGTCCTTCCTACATTTTTAAAAACAAGTCTATAAACTGTCCAAAACAACATAGCAATTATGTGAGAAATGGCTCCACTCATAGCAAATCACATGTACATTTTAACACTGTATGTGAAAGAGATTCTCAGTGTGGGCTCAATAGGCAATGACTTTTGGAGTTATTCTCTGCAGAGAATAATTTTCCTTAAATTGATAACTTTCCCCTCCAATATTCCTTGCAGTATAAACTGCAAGGGGACTGATTTATCGTGTTGTTATTGATACCACAAAGGAGCTCAAGATCTTTGGCAAGTGCTCTCTACCACTGCCTTTTTTAGCAATGTTGATCCTCTCTTATGTCCGTGGCCTTAATTAACAGCCTACAATAATTTTGGCAAATGTTCAGATGTTCATAAATTTAGAAATGTATTATCATTACAGTAAAGCCCAAGGCTGAAAAGATAACTTTTGGGTTTGAGATCCAACACATTTATTAAACTCAGTGTCATCAGATAGTTTAGTCATTTTCCCATCACTGGGACAAAATACCCAACACTTACAACTTAAATGAATAGAGTTGGATTTTTGTTGTTGCTGTACACAATTCCAGCCCATGATCCACTAACTCCAAGGCAAAAACAGGATGACAGAGGAACAGGGCAGAGGAAAGGATACTTAACACGCAGCAGCCTGGACACAGATGGGACAGTGTGGTATAACAATACACCTGGGCTACTAGGAATAATTCTGCAATGCACATAGGAATAGAGATATATCTTCTAGATTCTGAATTCAGGTCCATCGCACATTGATTCAACTCAATTATACTTTCTTTTTTGTAGTAATGGATTTGAACCCAGACCCTTACATATGCTACACAATGGTGTACTCTTAGCCCTCAACTCAATTTTTTTTTTTTTTTTTTTTTGCTCCGAATGCCTTCAGTGCAGGTTTGGCTGGCTGGTGTGTTGTGGGGATCGAACCACAGCAACCTGAGCATGACTGCTTTGTTGAAGCAGCCACTTAAAGAACAAAGCTAAGGGGCAGGCCCCCTCTCAACTCAATTTTTAAGGGTAAAAGTTTTAGTATTAACATATGATACATTTTTGCCTATTTTTCTATAACAAAACGTTGATACACACTCCTTTTTTTTGTTTTTAAACACAAGTGATCAGACTCAAGAAGCTATTTTGTATACTTTTCTCTAAGTAAGAAAAGCACAGCATTAAACCAACACTACATCCGTCCCTTTACTCATCCTAAAACTGGAACTAAACATCTACATTTACAGGCCAACAAAACATGTGTTTGGAGTATTTCCAAGCATGCTTGTCACTAATCATCAGAATGATGTTCTGTCATACCATATAGAATGCCCAGGTATGTGAAGTTAAACCCAACTGCATACATTGTAAGGTAATAATAAGCTTCTCTTCTTAGGTTGCAGGGTTAACAACCTAAGTTTGCAGACCAAAAAATTAGAGAAATAAAAGGGCTGCAAGGACAGCCAACATTTTGACCATAGCCTTTCAAGGTCAGTGAAGACTCAGGACATAGGAGAACCTATACTGTAACATCATGTAACTCAGTTGTGTCCCAAATTTTCTGATCAAGGAGATGATGGGGCCACAGAGCAACGTAATCCATGACGTAGAATGTGCCTAAGGAGAGTCACATGGAGAGAAAACATTCTTTCAGGCTTTCATGGAGAGCAAACTGGTCAAGTAATGGCTGTGACTCATCCACATGGCTTACACTGACAAAGGAGTTACAGGATAAATCCTGAGGGAACTTGACTGACCTTATCAGATACAAAAGTTGCATTTTTTGTTATATAGGTCTTGCTTTATCTTGGCCTTAACCATCCAGCAGAAAAGTATAAAAACGAGATATATAAAGTAAAGCCATATTAATATGCTGAGCTGTAAAAGGCTCAAGTGAACAACTTCTGTGGATAACCCACTACTATTGTGGACTGCTGGACTGTGTTGGATTGTTTTGCTGAATTCATGCACCTATAGTATTTAGATGCCAATGGAATACCCATTCTGACAGGACTTAACAAAAAAAAGGGATACAAAGGAAAGACCATTTTATATCTGTATATGCAGAACAGTTAGGATAGATATACAGCTACTTTCACTTAATTCAATAAGAAGATTTGTACTAATAGTGTTTGGACAGGATATCCTGTCTGCATCTTGTACTATGGATAACCACTAAGAAAATAACAATGTACAATGTATTAATTATTGAAACTGTCCCATTAATCAGTTTTGAAACTGTCTTATTGCTATTTGTTTCTCAATAAAATAAAAAATAAAAAAAAAGAATGCCCAGA